GGTTTTTGGAACAACAGTTCACAGTGTGAATCTCCACACATTGTTCTTCCTGTCCAACAGAAGAGTTTTTAGATAGGGAATGTCATGATTAGATATATATTCTACTATGTTTAGAGAAAGGATTGTAAAATAACAAAATTGAACTTGAGAGACTAGAGTCTGGAGAGGGATAACAGTAATAATGGGACTCAAGAAGTTTAGGAATCAAGATCAATAGGATTGATGGATGACTGACAGGTGACAGTGATTACCCGGTTTTTGTTTTTGCTTTTTTTTGAGACAGCGTCTTGCTCTGTCACCCAGGCTGGAATACAGTGGCATAATCTCAGCTCACTGCAACCTCCACCTCCTGGGTTCAAGTGATTCTCCTGCCACAGCCTCTCGAGTAGCTGGGACTACAGGCGTGTGCAACCACGTCCATGAGCCACCAGGTCTCGCTGACTACCTGGTTTCTACTGTGTAAAACTGGATATATGGTGATGCCATTTCCTGGACAGGGAATAATAGAGATTTGTTTTTAGGCTGGGCATGGTGGCTTATGCCTGCAATCCCAGCACTGCTTGGGATTGCCCTAGATCACTTGAGCCCAGGAATTTGAGACCAGCCTGGGAAACACAGTGAGACCTCACCTGCACTAAAAATTAAAAAAAAAAAAAAAAATCAGCCAAGTTTAGTGGCACATGCCTGTAGTCCCAGCTACTCGGGAGGCTGAGGCAGAAAGATCCCCTGAGCCCAGGGGTCGAGGCTGCAAAGAGACTGATCTCACCACTGCACTCCAGCCTAGGTCTCAAAAAAAAAAAAAAATGATACTTTTTTCATTGTTGTGGTTGTTGGTTCACAAAAGGGATGACGAGTGTGTCAGTTTTGTGGGGTTTTTTTCCCCAACTGAATTAGTCTCTATTCTCTTAGTAATCTCTTCCAGGGTCAACTACTTCCACTGTAGGTGACAAAAGGTATAAGGCTCCACTTCAGATGTTGGCACTGCCAAGAGCGCGGTCTTTCCCCTTTACTGCAACTCAGAATTAAAACTTTTGCTTCTTATTTTTTATATTACAGTTCCAGCAGTAGTTTTCACTGTAGATGTTATCTAATGACAGTCTTACTCTTTCTAGTAGTGGCTTACTACCAGGCTCTAACTTCTCCAGGAACATTACAGGATGGATTTAGTTTAAATATGGATTAAAATAAAAGGTATTCTCTCAAATGAGTTTAAATGCATTTTATTTTTAGAAAACCTACATGACACACTTTTCTTAAAAACAATGCATCCACTCCATGCATCTATAGTCGAAATAAATGAAGAGCTCAAGATGACATCAGTCCTATTTGTCTTAAGTCCTGGTGTTGTGTGGATGACAAGCAGCAGCTAGTTATGATGACAGGTGACAGATTCAAAGTAACTGCCAAATTTGTTAACATTTTTTCCATTTCTGAACCACCCTTAAAGAAAGTCGTTTATGGGGTCACACTATCCTCATGACAGTCCAATAGAGCAAACATGCCATCTGGATTCATGTTTTCACCAATAAAGAACTAGCAGTTTTTGCAATTAACAAGGATGTGCTGGATTTGTTCTATAGCCTCTGTCACAAAAGGTTTTACTCTTTCTGGTCTCTATTCTTCAGGTTTGCCTTTGATTGTTTTCAGGTAATCTTTGATATAGTTCTGTAGGCATTTTTAGTGAAGCTGCTTTCTTGCAAGTGATGGTTCGTGACAGTACCAACAACAGTGATTACTGTGCTTTTGGTACCTTTGCCCTCAGGACCTTCAGCAGAGGCATTTCCATCAATGAGCAAGTCATCAGTGTCACCCTCTGTCCTACTGACCTTTCACCACCAGGCACAGCCCATCTGTAATCTCCCAAATCTTGTAAATGTGGAATAACATCTACCTCATCACAGCTGATGAGATGCTTGTAAACAATCAAGATGGCAGCTGAAGGGAGACAGAGGACAGCAGTGCTACCTTAGCAGGAACCAGGAGCTCTGGGCAAGGGTGGTGGAGCCAGAGCGCTCCAGGAAAGGCGAGCCATGGAAAAAACTGTCAGTTTTTTATGTATTGAGTTCAAGATGTCTTTAAGCACTTAAAATATTTAGGTACAGTGTCCAGTAAATTGTTAGATGTGCATATCAGGAGATCAAAGAAAAAGCACAGCATGCTGATAAACATTCATGAGTTATGAGTGAAACTAATACTAAACTAATGAGAACAGGGAGCTGTGCTTAGGAAGAAACAGAAAAGAAAGGTAGACATTAAAATGGAACTAAGAGGAATACCTCCACATTTAAAGAATAAATAAAAATGGGCTGGCAAAGATTGCAAAATGGCTTTAGGCAGAAACCAGGAGACAGGTGGGTGTCATAGAAGAATGTTTCAAGGAGGACTTGGTCAGCATTGAAAGCTACTTTTCAAAGTAAAGTAAGATAAGGAAAAGTGCCATTTGGAATTAGTGGCATGGTGATGCTTAATGAAGAGCTAATCCATTAGCATGATAGGGCAGAAGCCAGATTAGAATGAACTGAATACTGAATGGGAAGTAAGGAAATAGAAATAAGAAGTTTGATTGTAAAGGGGAGACAAGTTAAATCGTAGCTGGAAAGCAAAGCAGGTTAGAGGTGGGGTTTTCATGTTTTGTTTTTTAAAAAACTTGACAGTGATTTGAAGGTATTTAAAGCAAAAAGATAAAAGCCAGTAAAGAGAGATAGAAGTTGAAGATATAAGAAAGATAAGAGAAAATCAATAGTATAAGGTTCTTGAAGAGTTAAGAAGGAATGTGATTCAGAGGAAGTATAGAGCAGCTGTCCTTAGGAGGACGGAAAATTCTTCAATATGACAGGAAAGAATGAGAAAATAAAAGCAATTGCAGGTAAGGTATGTGCATCTGTTAGCAGGAAATTAAGGGAAATCTTGTCTGATGGTTTTAATTTTTTCTAAAGCAGAAAGCAGTTACCCGCTAAAAGTCAGAAAGAAAGTGGGAGGGTGAGAGATCTGAGAACAGTAGAGGTTTAAATAGTTGCCCAGTCAGATTCCCGTGGGATGCTTATTTCTTATTTGTTTCAGCTTTATTCCATTACCATTTTTTCTTTTTCTATACACTCACATTTAATTATAGTTTTCTAAAATGAAATAACTGCTTGAACAATTTCTCTGGTTTTATATAAAACCCGAATATCAAATTCAATTTTGCTATTACCATCACATTGACAATTTATCTATAATGCTTCCTATTAGCTCTTCTGTTTAAAATTCAAAAAGAAAGATCCATATATTATTTTACAGGAATTTCAGAACTACCAATTATGCTTACATATAGGTAAACAAGTATTTGGTATATCCACAAATTTTACCTTCATGCATCTAGAAGACACAGCATTTGTTTAGAGGACTTTACACCACATTACTTCTTTTTTTTTTTTTTGAGACGGAGTCTCACTCTTGTCACCCAGGCTGGAGTGCAATGGCACGATCTTGGCTCACTGCAACCTCTGCCTCCCAGGTTCAAGCGATTCTCCTGCCTCAGTCTCCCAAGTAGCTGGGATTACAGGCATGTACCATCATGCCTGGCTAATTTTTGTATATTTAATAGAGACAAGGTTTCACCATGTTGGCCAGGCTGGTCTCAAACTCCTGACCACAGGTGATCTGCCTGCCTCAGCCTCCCAAAGTGCTGGGATTACAGGTGTGAGCCACCGCACCCGCCACCACATTACTTTTTGACTTGTTTTTTCAAAATGGCCTCAACAATTCTCCTCGCCCTGTGCACACAGCTATTCATGCTGTGACTTTGCTTTTCCTACCATCAGGAATGGAGTCTGTTTCCTCACCCTATAAAATCTGGGGTAGCCCTGTGCTAGATTTTGCCCTACAGAATTCCATAGAAGTGACAGCAAATAACTTCCTAACCTACAATTTAAGAACCCTTATAGCTCCTACTCTCACCTTCTTGGAATGTGGTACTTCAAAATAAAAAAGCCCAAGCTAGCCTTCTGACAAATAAGGCCGCAAAGAAAAAGCCCCAGCCAACAGTACCAACTTCCTGACACAAGAACAATTTTTCTGGTTTTATATACAACCCAAACAAATGAGGGTGAGTCATTTTAGACCACTGATACCAAGCTGAACCATCAGATGATTGCAGAAGGAACCCTAGGTGAGATCAGCAAAAGAACTGCACACTTGAGCCTAGCTCAAACTGCAAATTGACAGAATTGTGAGAAAATAAAACAACTGTTTTAACCCAAAAAGTCTGAAACAATTACCTATTTTTTGGGGAGGCGTGGGGCAGTTTGTTTTTCTGAGACAGGGTCTCACTCTGTCACCCAGGCTGGAGTGCAGTGGCATGATCATGGCTTACTTCAGTCTTGACCTCCTGGGCTCAAGTGATCCTCCAACCTCAGCCTCCCAACTAGCTCAGACTACAGGCACATGCTACCATACCCAGCTAGTTTTGTATTTTTGTAGAGACAGGGTTTTGCCATCAGCTGGTCTCAAACTCCTGGGCTCAAGCAATCCACCCATCTTGGCCTTCCAAAGTGCTGGGATTATAGGATTGAGCCACTGTGCCCAGCCACACAATTACCTAATTTTAAATTTCTTTTCTATTTTGAAAATGCAGAAAAATTACTGAATATATAAACTTTTCTCATGGGAAAATCATAAACAATATCACATTTACTTTTAATATTTGCTTTGCACCTAAACTTAAGCCTTCTTTAAAACAAAATGACCAGAATTATAGTCTTAAGATTCAGCCATCGATCCATTTATTTATTAATCACCCTACTATGTTCCAGAACCAGAGAAACTGACCATATATCAGTGAACAAATAAATATTTTAAAAATCCTTGCCCTCTCAGAGTGTACACATTGGGGAGTTACAGACAATTCAATTCTAAAATACATTATTTTCTGATATGCTAGTACTACAATGACATCCATAATTTTAAAGAGAAGAACATGTATAGAAAAATGTGCATATTATGCTAATAAGCACTCTTACCCTCATGCCAAGCACCAAGAACCCAATCTCTTCCATTAATGGGTACTTGCTGACCTGTTGCTGAATCTTCTCAGATGAGGCAAAAGGATCATAGCTTTTTTGCCCTATCTTTACATCCATTATACAGGGCTTATTAAATTTATGGGTCACATCTTCCAGTTTTAGGTATAAATCTGTTATTAAAGAAAAATACTAATTAGTAATAGGCAAACATATTACTACTCAAGTACTTGTCAGGGAAAAACAAAATAAGAAAATCCTAAAACACAGAAAAAAGTTAAAATAAATCTAGAGTCAATAATTATTCTTACTCTACCTAAAAAAAAAAAAAACCTAAACCAACACATTTATAACAAGTATTAAACACCACAGAGAAATTCTTGCAAGAGGTGAATTACATAAATTCAACTATAAGCAAAAGATGGCAGATATAACATTTCAAACAATACAAAAAAGGCAATGGGATCATTTCAAAGCTTTTCTAGAATGCATTCCCCTTGTAAATACAATTTATGCCATATGTCTCAGCAGATCTCTTAGTATTTTAACAATTTTAAAACATCTATTATTTTAAGCTTAGTAATAGGAATAAATCCTTCCCACAGAGTAACACAAGAGAAGTACAGATTAAGAAAGGGCAAACTAATCCAAATGACAATCATCGTCAAACATACATTCTAGTCTTACTAATTTCAAAGGAAAAATAAAAAAAATAAGTATCTTGCCTTTTTATTTTTTTGTGACAGGGTCTTGCTGTGTTGCTTGGACTAGAGCGCAGTGGCCAATCTTGGCTCACTACAACCTCCTCCTCCCAGGATCAAGCAATTCTTGTGCCTCAGGCGCCTGAGTAACTGGGATCACAGGCCACAGCCTGGCTGATTTTTATATTTTTAGTAGAGATGGTATTTTACCATGTTGGCCAGCCTGATCTCAAACTCCTAGCCTCACGTGATCTGCCCACCTCGGTTTCCCAAAGTGCTGAAATTAGAGGTGTGTGTGACCATGACCAGCCCATCTTGCTTCTTTTTAGAACACAGTCATTCCCCAAAAGTTGGTCTGTAAATCATGTTGACATCCTGCACACATCTTTCCACAAAAAAATTAAATAGAGATTCAAATATGGTATTATAAAAGCCCCAGTTATCATACACAGCTGATCTGCTTATAGTTTTGGCTTGAAAGCAAGCATCCAGGTCCCCTGAGGGAAGCAGTAAGGAAAGAAATTCTTCCTCCTTTCCTAGGTTAAAGAATTGTCTCAAATTTCTGAATGAGCTCATGAATCATTTTTTAGTTAGGAATGTAATAAGAAGTATTTCTCCTCAAAGACAGAAAAAATTACCAACAACCAACATGACAAATAAGGTTAGAGAAGGTGTGTATTTTCTCTGAATTAAATAAATGGGTAGCAGGGGTAAGAGAAGCCTTACTCTCTGATGTCCTTTCATTATTCCTGTCCCACCAAGACTAGCATAGTTATTAAATTACAATAAAGAAATCTGTGCTCAAACAAAAGTGAGAACCCAGTTAGGGTTTGGAAAAGTTTTAAGCCCCTCAGATTTAAAAGGTATAAATCTTCTCCTTCAAAGGATAAGAGGTACTTTTTATCCCTTAGTCAAAGACAATGAGAGCAAGGTTATAACTCTGTAGAACTAGGTGAAGTTAAGCCCAAATATGACAAAAAAGTTACTGCAGTCCAAGGGAGCAGCACTGACACACCCCAGGAGCCCTCCACACCTGAAAGAAAGGTTCTCCCAGACAGATACCTTGAGGATAAAAGAAAACAAAAGATCTTGACACAGACATGAAACTGTTGTCTGTGAAAGCTAATGAGACAAGTAGAAAAATATCTTGATGAAGGAGCTGGAACACACCCAAGCTTCTGTGTCTAAAAGATAACCACAAATGGTATGAAAGAAGAAAGTAGCATAGTATAGTTACCTTCAGATTTTCTCCTCCCATCTCCAACCATCTTAAGCAAAAAAGAAGAAAACAGATCCAGCCCCTCTCTAGGGCTACATAATAATTTCAGTAAAAAGACTTGAATTTCAAATATCACAAAAAAACTAATTAGATTGTAATATATAGTACAGTAGATCCTTGGCATTCATAAATTTATTATCATTAATTTAGACTCAAGAGACTCCACAAATCTTCCTGAAGTAAAGTTGTATACGAGAGTATAAAGATAGTGAGAGAACCTAGCTAACTGTCATAGCATTTATATCTCAGTGTAGGGTTAGTACCTTCCACCTGTCAATTTGGTACTGATTAAAAACAAACAACAAACTGTTTCTTTATGATAAGACAAAGATGACAGAAGCTAGGGTAGAGACTTTGCAAATCTGAAATAAAATCACCTATCTCTGCCTTTTTCTCTCTGAAAGGAGGAAAATACAAATGCAAACTCTATATATAGTGGGAATACAATACGTCTTTGCTGAATAAATGAGTGTTTGCCCTTCCCATTCCTATGGTCCAACGGAACTTCAGACTTGGCCTTTCCTCACGCTATAATAAATTGAGGCATCCCTTTAGTAAATAGGGGCAAGTATAATGCGTTTTATTTGATGTTTAGTTAGACTAGCCAAGTGTGTTTTTCTTTACTTTACTTTCAGGTTCTTGTTATGTTTCATATGTTTGGAGTTACCAAATAACTGCTAAATTACTTCTTATTAGCCTTCAGAAATAAAACCATAAGTTAAGCCTACTGAAGACTGGTTTGGTGTTTTCTTTCCATTCTCTAATCTCAAATTTTTTTTAAGTGAAAATAAGAATTTGAGATTCTCATTTCTATCTTTCCCTCTGAGTTAAAAAATAAACATCAAAACCCGCTTTAGAGATGCAGAATTCTGAAGAAAGAATGTGATACCATGTATCTCACAACTTAACTGCAAGTGCTTTTGAAAAAGGTAAATAGGGCATGAAAGTCTTATTTTAAAAGTCTTACTTTACTTATTTAAAGTCTTACTTTACTAAGTATTGTTGTCTGGGTTGGTCTCCATCTTATAAACATTGAGTTGCAATGTAATGTATTTATTATGTATCATAGACAAAGAAGTTTATTCCCCTCATGACCTAAAGACCCAGTGTTTTGTTGTATTTTTTCCTTTTAGACAAAGAAGTTTTAAAAACACTTGACTAGAATAGATGGGATGTCACTGTGTCGTGAGTGTGTCTGCCCAGCTCAAGAACTATCCTCAGACCTACAGAAGTGGTCCCTTTGCCAGCACCATCATACTTTGGGAATCCAGCCCATGGGCCACAGTCACTAGGGCAGGAGCAAATATCTGATACAAGCTTGGCCAGTCTTGCCAATTTGGGACTGGAACGCAGAGAAAACCTGTTGCTGACCTCTGCAGATGACTGGTACTATATAACATGCAAGTCCCTTGGTAGGGAAGGGAGAGACATGGATAGCAAGTAAGGCAAAGGAGAGAAGAGGAAGGATTAAGAAAATATGCAGAGAGAGATCTCCCTGGGCTAGGGTTCAGATTCTGGTTCCAGTCCCATCTAGACTCAAATGCATGACTCTTGGTTTTCATAAGACACCCTCATATCCTTATAAGAACTTATCGTTTTTGTTTAATCAAGTTCAAGTTTATTTCTGTGACATGTGCCCAAAGAATCTTAACTGAGAGGATAAAGTTTAAAGCAACTGCTTTGTAAGAAGGAAAGGTACGCTCAAATCTCAACTCTATCATTTGCTAGTCTGTGACCTCAGGAGCACTTTTCAAAACCCCAATTGTATGTAAAATGGAGATAATTATAGACTCTACCAGCAGGAATATTAAGAAGACTAAATGACATGATGTACAGTAAAAGCACTCAGCATAGTGTCAGTCCTGTCCTATAAATGAAGGTTACATATTCCCACATCATCTCCAAAATAAAATTTCACACATTCCATATGTAATTACTGTCAAGGCACATAAGTGAAGAAAACAGATAAAAATTCTGCCTTCATAGAGGTGTTTTTGAAGAGTTGAAATAGCATTACATTTAGCATAATGGCTACTACATATTTGGTACTCACTGAATATTTATTAATTTTACCTGTAAGTGTATATAAATATTAAAAAAGCAAGTCACTGATAAATATTAAAACCTGCTAACTATGTTAGGTCACCAATGAGTCCAGGTCTAACTTCGATATTCAGTATAAATAAAAATATAAGATGATTCCCTGGAGTCTGTTCTTTCCCTTCCAGACGAGACAGACATAAGAAACACAAAATAAAAAGATGTAGTCGTAACTCAGTTATGCACTTGATAATGGATATTCTCCAACCCTCAGGCTAGTATCAAGCCTTAGTCTTTAGTTCAATATTAAAAAGAATACCTATATATAATGAACCTACTTATTACATATTGATTTCCTCTCAAGTTAAAGTAACTCTCTTTTGCATGTGTCATGACTGCAAAACACACTCAGATCTGACCACTAACCTCCAAGTAGGCCCTTAAAGTTGCTCAACTATCTTACTCTATTTCCCAAATCTCCTCACTTTTCCATCCTCTAAGACTACTATTTCATCATTCCTTCCCCGCTCATCCATAAGCTCAGCTTGCCTATTTTTTTTTTTAACTGTCAAGAAAAAGTTAAAGATTAGTCAAGGTTATAGATGCCAACGGTTACTGCAGTAAATATGAGAGCTGGGTTTTCTCTGATGCAATATTAACGTTAAAAAGATGATAGCAAATAGGAAATTTGTTCTAAGACTCATCCAAAATAATCTAATGAACTAAAAATAAGATAGATTTTTGTTGTTGTTATTGCTGTTTTTGTTTGAGACAGGTCTCAATCTGTCACCCAGGCTGGAGGATAGTGGTACAATCATAGCTCACTGCAGCCTCAAACTCCTAGGCTAAAGTGATCCTCCCATTGCGGCCTCCTGAGTAGCTGGTACTACAGGTGCATGCCACCACACCCAGCTAATTTTTCTTTTCTTTTTCTTTTTTTTGAGAGAGGGTCTCACTCTGTCACCCAGGCTGGAGTGCAGTGGCACGATCTCAGCTCACTGCAACCTCCACATCCTGGGTTCAAGCAATTCTCCTGCCTCAGACTCCTGTGTAACTGGAACTACAGGCACCCACCAACATGACTGGCTAATTTTTGTATTTTAGTAGAGACAGGGTTTTTACCACGTTGGCCAGTCTGGTCTCAAACTCCTGA